CCCCCCACAGCCTCATGCCCCGAGGCCCCGGCAGTAATTCCACCCCTGGACAGGGAGCCGTAGCAGAGGGATGAAAGAGCCATATGCGGCTCCGGAGTCGCAGGTTGCAGACCCCTGATCTAGACTGTATAGAGGAAGGGAAGGCGGTTGGAGGCAACACAGGAGACCGGTATATTACTTGATGGAACACATACTCCAAGCTTCTCAACACCTTTCTAGATTCTCCATCAGGGGTCTCCCGGCTCTCACAGCATGGTGGCCGGAATACACAGACATAGGACATGGCTACTTGGAGGTTAAGGTTCTAGTTGTATGTTGATGTGTTGATGGTGGTGTTCCATGGCAGAAGAGCTGAGACGGACTTCTCACCCAGCCAGTAACTCACCTTCCCTCTTGTAGGGACAGCTGTAGATTCTTCCTCTTGGGGAAACGTCTCATCTTTCAGTGGCCATCACCTTCCTCTCCAAAGAGGGGAAGCTCCAGTAACTTCCAACCCCAAAGACCTGGGAGAGAGACAGAGAGCTCATCCTCCTCCAAAGGCCTGAGCTTGGGATGAACTCAACCACATGGCATGGAGGGTCTGAGACCTTTAACACCTCCCCTGCTCACATCACCAAGCCAAGACTCAAGGTGATTGGCTTCTTAGTTCAAGCAGAACTCTTGGAAAGATGCCAGTTAGTTGAGTAAATGGAGTGAAATGTCTTTTCAGCAAACAAGAACACCCAAGACAAGCATCCTTTGTATTGCTCCAATTTAAAATAAACTAAATTGGATTTCACTTCTTGGCGAGTTGTGTGGTTGTGGATCTTGTTGAGTCAGTCAGTTGTCATACAGTCTGCAAAAGTGGGTCTCAGGAAGTATTTTAGTGCATAAAGCGACATTTGAGACAGAACACCTGTCATTGAGGTGGCCATTTGTCTGACATCTGCCTATATGCTTGAGGTCAGTGACTCAGGAAGTATTGCAGCCAGAGAGTCAGCATGACATCCGTAAAAGAAGAGTTTTCATTTCCGTATTTTGGTGAAATGTATTGGAGCCAAAAGGTGAACGTAGGTTTTCTAATGGTTTTTAAGGGTGCAATGGACTTTTAATGGCTCCTGAGCTCCTTTTCTCTACCTTTGACCTGTCCAAAAAAATGCCCCTCATTATCCTCTTTATTTTAGGTTTCCCAGAAAGAAAATAAAAAAAACACGACAGCACACAAAAAAAATTGTATTTTCTGGCAAAATTAAAGTGACACTAAACTCCGGAGATAAACCTTAAAAATGTATTCCTTCTCTATGAACAACAATGTATCTTATTTGTGTATCACTCGGCTGTAGATCCTCCAATCATCTCTGACACTGTCCTTCCTTCTGGAGGCGGGCTACGTCTGATCCCCATGGTCCCTGTGTGTGTTGTAGTCACCGCTCCAAGCTCCCCACAGGGATGGACTACAATCTCAATACAAATGAGTAAACTAAACATGAGATTGTAGTCCATCCCGGGAGCGAGCTTGGAGCAGTGACTACTTTACAACACACACAGGGACCATGGGGAACAGACGTAGCCCCCCTTCAGAAGGAAGGACACTGTCAGCACCAATTCAGAGATGATTGGAGGATCTACAGCCGAGTGATACACAAATAAGATACATTGTTGTTCAGAGTTAAAGAAGAACTATGAGGAGGGGGGGAGTGATTTTGACTCGGCCTCATAATCTGAGCCGACCTGTGACAATGAAACTGTCACAGGTCAGCTCAGTAGATGGGGAAGTGAGCGAACACATACCGTCGCTCGCTCACTCACTGCAGCGATCTATCGCTGCAGAGAGCCGTGACTGTCACTCACGGCTCCCTGCAGGGATTCCCCCCCTCCCCGCTCCGATCCTCCAGCGCTGACTGGCGGAACGGAGGGGGTCGGGTACAGCAGGCTCTATACACCCCCCATACAGGACAGATCTGCTCTTTGCTGCCCCTGACGCACCATTGAGTTTCAGACTTAACTTATTCACTGTTTTTTTTCCCCTTAAACTGTCTGTTTGCTTTCTGGAGACTTGCAACTGTATTTACCGGGGAGGAAATAATAAATGAAGCTGGGATTTCTTTTTTTTAATTATAGTTGTGACAATAAACTTAATCTGATGAATTGCACAAGAGTCTGTCACTGGGCCAGAATTTGTGTGTAACATTTCCCGGACGATGAGCCCGTTGGCTTCAATTCAGATGTCAGATTTAGGTAAGTGTATTGTTACTTTTAGTGAGCTGCTTTCGGGTGGCCATCTCGGGTGCTTTAGACAGGATGTGCAACCTATGCTGATAAAGTAGTTCACAGCTCAAGG